AGAGGGGCGTGGCCAAGGGGAGGGGAGGTGGGGTGGGCGGGCCCTCCCTTGGGCCCGCCCCCTTTCCTGAGCGGCGTTGGACGCGCTCTCGTTCTGCTCCTCCTCCAGAGCCCCAACAAAAATGCGTTCCAGCCCTGGCCGGTGTGGCGCAGTGGTTAGAGTGTCAGCCCAAGGACCGAGGGTCACGGGGTCAGTTCCAGGTCAAGGGCACGTGCCTCAGTTGCAGGTTCCCGTCCCAGGTCGGGGCGCGTGCGGAAGGCAACCAGCGGATGACTCTCACGCAGAGGTTTCTCTCTTTCTCCCCCTCTCCTCCCTCCCTCTCTTTCTAGAAATCGGTGGAAAATATCCTGGGTGAGGACTGAAAGTATATTTTTATATATATGGTCCACCTTTTCAGTGCACCTCGCGTCTCTCATGCTCTGGTTCCGTTTCCCTCTAGATAATGTCTTTAACCTGCTGTCTGGGTCACTGACTCCTCCGCGTCTCTGTCATCTACTGTCAGGCCCATCCACTGAGTCCTTAAGCTTACTAATTCTATTTTTGTCTTTTAGAATTTTCATTTATTTGGGGTTTTCATTTATTTGCTGTTCCCAGGTCTCCCCCTGCCCAGATTTGTTAACCTTGTCTTTTGGCTCCTTGAGTACATTAAGTAGAAAATCCTTGTGGGAAAACTCCATTATCTGCGTCTCTTTGGGGTGCTCTTCGTCACGTTGTGTTTCCTGGGATGCCTGGTTGCTTCTGCTTGCCTTTTGTACGTTTATGTTTGAGATGTCATGGGGAGTTGGGTGATTGGACGGTGCACTGGGTGGTGGTATCTTCTCCCACAGCCGACCACCAGGTCGTCTTAATCCTGACGTGACTGGGATCAGAGGTCCAGCTTCATTTCCTGCTGGGCTGGTTGGTCTCTTTCCTCCTCTCTCTTGCTCTGGGTGTAGCTCTTCCAGGATCCAGCCCTGGAGAATTTAGGGGTCCCCTCCTCCTCACACAGGCCCTGAAATGCACTCTTTCCATGCAGCCCTGGGACTCTGTGGAGAGTTCTGATCAGTTTCTCAGCCCCACAGCTGCTATCTTCTTTCAGCAGGTACTTCAGGTGAGTCACCTCACTGAGGCGTCTTCTGGTTCTTAGCATCCACATTCCTCACTGTCTTGGCAGCAGTCTAATAGGTGTGTGGGTTTTTGTCTTACTACTGTGCCCAGCCCTTTAGTTCTCAGGAAATGGGACCACACTTTCAAGACTGTGAAATGCAACCTGTGCTTGGGTTTGCATGCCAAGCCCTTCAGAAGCTGGGCAATAGGTATGCTAAGAAATAGGTCACATTGCTTCGATCTGTGACCCCAGGGGCGTGGCTCAGGCAGAGGTTTCAACTCCCAGTCAAGGCACCTACCTGGATTGCTGGTCTGACCCCTCCCTCCCCATCAGGGCAGGTATAGGAGGCAACCAATCGATGTGTCTCACCAATGTTTCTCTCTCCCCCTCTCCCCTCCTTTCCACTCTCCAAAAATCAATGGGAAAAATATCCTCACTCTTTGGGGTGAGGATTCAAAAAATAAATAAAAACTCATCAAACTGCACACCTGAGATAAACTTTATAGTTCAGAAACGAGTAACCTTTTCTGAAAACATACTGACTCTGCATAGACTGCAGTGATTGGGTGCTGGTGGTTTAGTGTCCTGCTTTCTCTTCTGAGAAAGAAAAAAAGTCCCACTTGCCATGTGAGTGAAGAGGTGCACATGTGGGGGGCTGAGGGTAAATATGGGAAAGGCAGAAGCCAAAGTCAGGCTGTGCTGCAGGCTCCCAGGGACTCTCAGGAATAGCCCAGGGCTGCAGGGCAGCTAGTCCTCTCCCTCTCTTGCTCCAGATTAAGGATGCATGGGAACTAGAAGTCTTTGAGCCACACTTGTCCTGTCTGGTTGTCAGAGTGTGTCATACAAATGACACCATACCCATTGTCCCCTCTCCAGGCAGCAAGCCCTGTTCCACGTGCCATTGCCCTATTCCATCCACAACACTGTGTGTAACCGCCCCTGCCTGCTCTCGACTCCATTCCTCGCCCAGGGGCCAACCTCCCTCAGCAGAAGCATGGCTGCTGTCGGAGAACAGACCCCACAGCTCGTCAGAACATGGCAGGGATGAAGGTCCCCATCCACCTGAATCCCAAGTGTGGTACACAGGCCAGCAGTGCTCAGAGGCAGCTCCTCCCGTAGTGCTCTTCCCAGAACACTCCCTTAAGGAACAGCAGCTGAGACACTCAGCTGTCCTGGGGCACTCAGGGTGAGGTCTCCAGACCTCCCAGTTGCCTGCCCCTGCAGCACAGCCCCCAGGAGGGCACCTGCAGAGCAAAGGGCAGCAGTGGTACCAGGCTGAGCTGCCACATAGGCTCTGCAGGCCCTGCTCCCCTCCACAACTCCTGGGCCCAGGGAGCGCAGGCCAACCAGGAGTCTGTCCACAAGCTCACGGAAAGCTGAGCCATGGGGTTAAGGAAGGGGCATTCTTGCTCAGTGTCTGCCTTACAGGTGGGCTACTGCCAGGCTGAGCCAAGTGTGGGCATCCTCTTGTCTTTGGGCCCATGGCTGGACAAGACCCAGGTGGCAGCCTGTGTGCCCCAGCCTGACTCCTGAGCCCAGGGGATTCCTGTACTCTTTGTCCCTCGGAGCTGGGACCCCTCCATACCCTCACTGTGGCCACTGTGAGGAAAGGGGATTGCCAGAGCCAGGGACGGCTGCCTGACCCTCGGCACAGGGTTCCCCCACACTGGGCCTCCATGAGGGGCCCTCTATCCCTGCCCCCAGTCTTCTCTGGGAAGACCATGTCACCAGGCCTTGGGGTCGTGAGAACATGGTGGGGCCACAGTGTGGGAGAGGCTTTGGGTTCCTTGGAGGCACCTCCCAGTGCCTGAGCCTCCTCTCACTTGGAGCAGGCTGATTTGGGGC